CTTGCAAACCCAAATAAATCTATCTGCGTAAAAAATAACTAAAATAAGAGTGATTTGCGGCGAAACCCGCCAGAATCACACCCAACGTCAGTGCCTATACGTAAGCGTACTACGACGCGGCTCTCAATAAAAGGAGTAACAAGTGTGATACTATCACTGCTAGACTAGATCTTTGGTTCTCTTATGCAGTGGTTTATCAGAGAGGGGAAGCTTCGTAATCACCATTGCCTGCCCATGACGCCATTCTATCGCGGCATGAGCCAGCAACGCCAACCATAAACCAACCGTCTCCAACACTCCACTATAAAGCATGAAATTAAGCCCGCCCACCAACAGCAAGGTGCAAAAACTAGCCAAGGAGAGGGACATTCATGATTTATCATTTCTCATATCATATCTACTCGAAGAAATATTTATCACCATTTCTTTTTGACTTTATTACATCCCCTCTGGGACTTTACGCCAGCTCTCAACTTAGTGCTCAACACTTCCACAATTTTTCCATCCCGATAAATTCATAAACATGACTTGAACCTAGCTACCTTTTTCATCTAGTTCGTTTATTTGGAAGGCTCAATCGCGTAAGCTTTACGAAGCCGATAACTCATTGTCGAAGGATAGGATCAGGGGACGAGCTTGGGGTGGGGTTTCGTTGTCTCATCAGAGCTTTGTTGCCAGTATGAACGGTAATGTGGTTCTAGAGTTCGACCGGCTATGGTGGCCAGTAGGTGTGGGGACAAGACAAGGAAAAACTGATAAAGAGAAACAAAAGACAAAGGAATTAAATTCTTATAGGGGAAATGGATGCAATGTCAGCCTAATTGCCCCTAATTTGGGCCCATATATAAATTCAACAATTTTGACAAAACATTTCAATAGCCACCAAAAATATCCATTAGTACTGTCCTAATGAGGCGTTTATCTAGATAAAATTGATAAATAGCAGTTTTTAGCGATGGGCCCAATCTTAGATCCATAGATCAACATTAAAGCCATTTCCCCTGCTAGAAATTTGCAAAAAATACATAAATCGACTGCATATAGCAGAGATTGCGGATACCCAACACGTTTCTGATAGGGATATAAGGTTGTCTTCCTTGGGCCTCGAGGGTATTCAAAATATGTTCCAAAAAATTTCATGCAAAATATTTTGTAAATACCAAAAATTGATATTTTGAGACTGTATTATCATAAATTGGTATTGGTATTTGATATTGGAATGGTATTGTGGAAACATATTTTGGAAATTATTTTTTGGCATTTTATTCGTTCCTGCTCGGGTAATGTTTCTGCTCAAAAGATTAAGCTGCATTTGTGCTGGGTACCACTTTCGAGTAAACACTACCAGTTCAGTTTTGAGCGGCGGGAATTTGATCCCTAGATTGCTAGTTCAAAAAGACAAGTTGTCTAAGGAATTGTCCTTGCAAGTCCACGGCAAGTGAACCTCTTACGGAAACCAGACTGTCATCTGCTAGTTGTCTTAGCGTGCATTGTTCTATCAAACAGTTGTCGATATCTTTGATATAAAAGTTATAAAGAAGAGGGCTGAGACATGAGCTTTGGGGCCAAATAACTAATTCTGGAAGTTGTCAGTTTTCCAAGAGGAAAAATCATTTGCTTTTCTTATAGCAAATTGTACAAGAAATTATTTTAAATTCCAGAAAGTCCACATCTGTACAGATTGTCTGACAGAATGTCAATGGAAGCAGAATCAAATGCCCCCTTAATGTCCAAGAATACTGAAGCCAATTGCTTGTTGTGCGTAAAGGTCAGTGTAATATCTGTGGAAAGCAACACAAGACAATAGTTTGTTCCTTTGCTTTTGCGGAACTCAAACTGTGTATTTGATAGCAAGTTATTTGATTCGATTTAGTGATCGACTCTGAAGGATAATTTCCTCCAAAAATTTCCTAATGCACGAAAGCATCGCAATCGGACGGTATGAGCTATGGTTTTTGAATGCCCATTACTTTGACCTAACCCAGCCACCTTAAGCATTACCTGGCTTTACAGCTGTAGCTTAACCGAGTGATAGCCAATGACACTCAAATAAAAAAAATCATAAAATAAAATGGACACCGACTACAGATGTTCCAGAAACAAATTGGATACAGTTAAATCCGTTCTCTATTATTTTTTGGATCTAAGTTTCCAAATATTTGGTATCTAATTTATAAGGAGACAAATGAGTGACGATGAATTTATATAAATTTGTCATTGGCAGGGTTGGCAGGCATTGAAAATGTGTATGAATGAATGTCAACTGTCAGTTTATCTGACATGTAGGAACTGTAAATCTATGTCTGACCCCATTTTGATATCCAAGATGGCGGCATCCGGGTACAGAAAATCAAAATTACCCATATTGTGGGGTATTGATGGTATTTCCGGTTTTTCATGAACCGGATACCGCCATATTGGATTTCAAAATGGCGCCAGGCATGGATTTTCGATTCGTACACGTAACCCTGATTCCAAAAATACCCATATGGTGGGTATTTGACATTATTTTTCAGGTTCTAGATTTCCAGTTCCTACACGTCACCCTAAATCCAAAAATACCAATATTGTGGAGTGTTGACAGTATTTTCCAGTTTTTCATGAACCGGATACCGCCATCTTGGATTTCACGTCCCTCCGATTTTAAAAATACCAATATTGTTGGGTATTTCACAACATTTTCAAAAACCTCTTTTACGAAATAAATCTTCGAGTTTTCCGGAATATACGGAACCGGTTCTACATTGTTCACTTTTCGTCGAGTAGATGTGATTTGATATGTCGCTTGATATGGTTGTGATAAATATCAAATTTGACCATGTGGAACCATAATCCGGAATATCAAGAACCGGTTCTACCTTGGCCATATGGCTATATGGTTGTCATTTTGAGTGTTATTGGTCATATTTGGTCGAGTATATGTGATTTGAAACGTCACTTGATATTTTTATGATAGATAATAAATTTGGCCATTTGGAACCATAATCCGGAACATCCGGAACCGATTCTATGGTAGGCATATGGTCTTATGATTGCTCTATATCATTTCTGGGTTGTCACAATAATAAGAAGGATATATGATAAAGATTGAAAAACACGGGGGGTGCCAACACTTTCTTGAATATATATATGTAAGAAGGATGAACATGGGAGGAAGTACCTTCCAACAGATGAAAGAACCACGCAACGGAATGATGTCAATAAAAAGATTCCACAATTCATCGGCTATGGCATCTCTGAGATACAATTTTTTGAAAATAAAAAGTTTGTTCCGGGCTTTTCCGGGTTAAATAGAAAAAATATAAAATTCAATTAATTTCAGCATCGATGGTAGTGGTAGTAGAGACAATACCATTAGAAACTAGATCATTCTAGCCTTGGTTGTGCTTGAAGGTATCAACATAAAATTTGAATGTAGGGTGTCCATGTTATTTTGTTTATTTCCATGGGCTATTTTATTTATTTTAAATGCTACGAGAAGAATTCATAGTTGATCAACCGCCTAGTGAATTTATTAGAAAATTTATATGATCATTACCGTGGCTCCTAACATTTCCTAAAAATAAATGCAAACTGCATTGAGAAACTCAAAGAGCAACGATATGCTTCTCATGAATACTACTACCTGTACTGATAAACTATATTCTGTTCATTTTTCTTTTTGGATTTTTTTATATATTAAAAAGTGATCAATCTTCCTTCGGATTACGGTATTCCTATCAACCTTATTGCCGGTTTTGCCAGTCGTGCCGTGTATAACAGGCAAAACAGCAACATCAAAATGAAACATTCACAGCAGCCTATTTTTGGGAAATCCAATAAATTTGAAGCTACACGGCAAATCACGTCGCCAAATTAATGGACAATTCAGACAAACCATTGATTTATCCCCCTGTTATCGATGGACTCTCATTTTCATCACGGCATGAATTCAACGAACCACACAATAATAAATTTGATTTATTTTTTTTTTCCTTTGGTTTGTTTTCTCCGTCGATCTTGTTTTCCGTGCTGAGCACCAATGCTACCGACGTGCCAGGAAGGCAGCTCCCACACCTGGACCCTACCACCTATCGACCCATCAACTCATGAACCGGGGACCAACGGCTGTACTTCCCATCCGAAGGAAGGCGTGATCAGAGATGTTATGCCTCAAAACATCCCGGCGGCGCCGACTGGGATTGAACCCAGACCTTTTGGGGTGAGAGGTAATCACGCTTACCACTACACCACCGGCGCCGTTAATTTGATTTATGCCGTAGCGGTTCGAATTGAAACATTAAGCCTTCGCTTTCCAGTCCATGGCCTAAGCGGTTTTCGGAACAAAATAGTGACCAATCAGTAAGAATGTACACATCATTGCATCATGATACGTTTGTTGTGGACTTAGCGCAGAATAAATATGTTAATGAAGAAAAACGCTGCCCTGATTGAATTTGATTTTTTATTTTTTCTTTGTCCAAACAACATAGATCTGCAAGTCTATAATGTTGTCTAAACAACCACTTGTAGCTCAAAAAATAAACTAATTAACTATTATATTTGAAGCAGCTCATCGGTCATTCACGACGTACTTTCACTAAACGTGAATTAAGCCTTTATCGTAAAAAAAACATACATCATCAATTGAAATAAACATTTATTCGTCCTGATGGGAAGGAACACCCGCGGCAGTAATGGAGGGTAGAGGTAAAATCCGCTTTCAATAGCAAATAATTCAACCGTTTGTAAACATTACACACGTGGGTGTCATTTCGCACATTCCATTTTACGAATAGGCCTCTCAGAAACCTTCGATCCACGATTCATATTTCACCGCGTAACAGGTGCCACATCAAAGCCTTCGAGCGCCGCCGTTCGTCGATGGAGCGATGCGCCGAAGCAATTTGTATAATATTTCATTTCTGATTTCGTAAATGATTGGAAATTGGGCAGCTCAGAATGCCAGCACACTGCACCGGGATGTGGTAAAAAAGCAATAGCCATCTCGACACACTTACCACGTTGTTATGATTCCAGAAAATGTAGGCCGGTGGCTCGGGGGAGTCTTTTACAACGCACGTCAAATTTATCGTCGATCCGCTTTCGATGTACAGATCCGGCGCTCCAATTATTTCCGTCGAAGGCTCTGCAAGGAGATAAAGAAAAGCGACACAATGAAACTAAGCCTTAAAATATGTAAGTTCATCTGTTGTTTTGTTTATTAATTTATTTGATAAGGCTCAACCGAATTAACTTTACAGAGCCGAGGATTCTTGGTCACTATACAATACATTTTAAAACTATAGTCAAAAGGTACAACACAATAAACACTTTATCTTCCGCTATCCAAAAAGCCTCCTCCATCAGAACTGGAGCCGCTTCCAGAAGTTTCATTGTATGGCAAATTGTTGTACGCCAACGAGGGTCAGAGCGCGTCCATTGCAGCAATGGACGCAAAACGTGGTCAACACTCACACACTCATCACGAAACGGTTGCTTTTCAAAGTCGACGACGCATCGACCGAAAGAACTGCTGATGAAGAACAATGAGGAGGACCACACACGAGGCGGCTAATACATAGGTGTAACAGTCGGAAGAAGTGTTAGTTTGTTTACTTAAATGAACCATGCCCATTTTGTTATGGCATGTTTGCTATACGAAATGCGCCTCGTGTTTATTAGCGAATTTCACATCAAAGATTGATTAATTGAGTAGGAAATCAGTTTGGCACGGCATTTGTGACCAGCATACACCTTCCGGTAGTATGAAACAGGTCAAAAACTATTCAAATCCGCAGATAAAATTTTTGTTTTGAATTTCTGTATAGCAAAATAGTGAACTTTTCGTGAACATTAACGGCAAAGAACTCACCAACACTGGGAGACTGTGAGTTCCTGCCCACCTGTTCATTTTCCATCGTGGACCACACAATGGTTGCTGCCGAGAAAACAGACGATCGCATAGCACACATCGAGAGTGGCCTGCTTTTGTCGACAGCCGAGTGAACACTGGTTCATCTGTTGTTGAACTAACGATTATGGTTTATTTGTGTTATACAATATTTTTTTTTGTTATATGTTATACAACATTTTAGGTCGCTAGTATTTTGCCCGGGATGAGATTTGAGCTCAAGTCTTTCAGCGTGAGAAGCATGGATGCTAACCATTTACACCAGGCCCGTATTCAGTTAAACAACATGAATGTAAAATCAGTAATCAAATTGATTTCATTGATAGCAGGATTAATTTTCCGTTTGATTCAACAGTGTAATATTGTGCTCTCATTTTTGCTGTGTTAACCGTTAAGTCAACCAAAATGAGATCAACTGGAGTATTCAAAATAAGTTACATCATAACAGCAAATTTTGATTTCAATTTGATCTTCAGATTTGCTCGGGTAAGGATCGGAAGCTGCATTTGAAGGTGTTGAGAACGGTTAGGGCAAACCCAGGGCTGTCGGATTATAATATCGCCAAGAAATTCAATGCCAGCCAAAGCACCACCAGTAGCATTCGTCAGCAAGAAGGATTTCGATATTTTCGGGCCATTACCCGAGCAAAGTCTGAGATCAAATTGAAATCTAAATTTGATGTTGTGATTTCGCTGATAATGATTACTCAGGTTGCTGTCGTTTTGGTCGTTTGAACGGTTAAAATATCAAAATTGAGAGCAAAAAAATCTTCCTGTGACATCACATTGAAAACAATTTCTGCTATCAGTGAGAGCAAACTGAAAACCAAATTTGATATCCATTTTTCCTGTTGATAACAAAACAAGTATTCAATTTGATGTTATGCTAAGGCATTGAAAACAAACCCGCAACAACATATTTCTGGAGAGCAAATATACAGCAAAATGAAAACAAAATTAGGTATCAAATTTGTCAATTGCGTAAACTGAAATCAAATTATGATTTCAGTTTGATGTTGATATCAAAACTTGATTTCAATTTGCTGTTATTTTGATGCTGTACTTTGCTCGGGTAAGCAACTAAACAGGACACTGAAGCAGAATCTAAAAGTCAAAAGACGTGCCCGGAAGTTGTAAAATGAGGTTCTTACAAAGTACGAAGGATACATCTTCATGGACGACGAAACGTACGTGAAGATGGATTATGGGCAGCTTCCCGGACAAAAATTCTATAAAGCCACTGCACTGGTCGAGGTGATGTCCCTAGGAAGTCCAAATTTGTTTTTGCCGATAAGGTATTTGCAGCTGCGGACAGAAAACCCAGGTTTTCGTGACAAACAAGACTATGGATTCCAAAATGTACAAACAGGACTGCCTGAAAAATCGTATTCGTTTGTACATTAAGGCTCACAATGGACCTGTAAAGTTTTGACCTGATTTGACAAGCCACTACAGCGGAGATGTTCTACAGTGTTATCGAGAAAACGGGGTAGATTTCTTTGAGAAGGACATCAATCCACCCAACTGCCCTCAATTCCGCCCAATTGAGAAAGGTGACTCGGGATGCGACAGAGATGAATAGATGGTTGAACAAAACGGCCGCATAGGTTAGCCAACAGAGTGCCCAAAATATGATGTTCGAGATTTCATCAAAACCAAATCGAAATAATTTTTATCGCTATTTATCCTTTAAAGTGAAATGAATTACCTTCATTTTGAGTACTCAAGAATTTTATTTAATTAAAATAGGTTTGAAAAACTTCCAGTGGCGCTGGTGGTGTAGGGGTAAGTGTGATTATCTCTCATCCCAGCATGCCTGGGTTCAATCCCAGTCGGCGCCGCCGGGATGTTCTTAGGCATAACATCTCTGATCACGCCTTCCTTTTTTCCATGCTGAGCAAATGCTACCGACGTCAGGGAGGCAACTCCCACACCTGGACCCTACCTATCGACTCATCAACTCATGAACCGGGGACCAACGGCTTTACTTCCCTTTTGAAGGAAGGCGTGATCGAAGATGTTATGCCTCAGAACATCTCGGCGGCGACAACTGAGATTTTACCCAGACCTGCTAGGGTGACAGGTAATCACGCTTACCACTACACTACCAGCGCCACTGAAGAGGCCCGATCATATTTTTGTTTTCAGTGCTGCTGATGGCGGTGATGCATTGAGTTTTGTGTGTTGGAAAGGTTTCTGTTACTGCTGTTATGCTGATTTTGTTGCTGTGAATGGTGCTGATGTGTATGCTGTTGGATATGGAAAATTTGCTTCACAGCCGTTCATGAAGGTGGAATTGTCAAGTTGATGTTCGAGGTGGAATTTCAATAAGGAACGGACTTTATACCTGGTACTACAGGAGGGAAATCATTATCAACGAAAGGGAATGGACGCTGATTGCCTCCCAAAAGGATTGATACCTAAACCCGTTGATATTAAATTGCTTTTGTCCTCATCAATTATTGAAGAGGGCTAAAATTATTAATTCAATTAATTTGTGCAATAAAAACAAAAATAGATATTGTACGATGTGGACGTTGGAAAGAAACCGTGCCGTGATGAGTGCGTGAGTGATGACCACGATTTGCATCCATTGCTGCGATGGGAGTGCTCTGCCCCCGTTGGTGGTACTACCACACAATAAAACCACTGGAAGCGGATCCCGTGCTGATGTAGGTGGCTTATTGGATAGCGGAAGATAAAGTGTTTATTGTGTTGTACCTTGTGAATATAGTTTACAATGTTTTGCATAGTGAACAAGAATTCTCGGCCTAAAGTTTATTCGATTGAGCCTTATAAAAAAAATATATAAAAAAAAAACAAAACCAAAAATGTGACGAGCAGCAGCATCACTCGCACCTAAAGGCTTACTAAAAGTAAATTGGTACGCACAAAAAGACCTGTAATTCGTAATTCAATAAGTTTAAAAAGTTCATTAATGATGGCTGTACAGTACTTTTATTAAAACATCAAAGTTACAGCATTAGATGGTTACATTTCTCCAGTTCGAACGAAATCTTGAACCTTCCTCTTGATTGAGCCCATCAGCGTCCGCATAGTGGAAACGGACACGGAATCAGCGCATTTCATCCATTTTGCCCGCATTTGCTGGATGTCCTTGCCTGCCCCACCGCTTCGTCGAAGTTGCTGCTTTGTAATTGCTCAGTAAAACTTTTGACCGGGAAACTGCTTAAAATCAAATTTGACGTATGTTTTGTCACCGATCAAAGTGCAGCCCTTATGTTTCTACAAAACACGGTCGTACAAGAGCCTTGTACGCTTCTTGGCCACGGAATTCTGCTTCATGTGCCGGTTCGGATGTTTACTGGCTTTGTACGACTTGTATCTTTCCCTGGCAAGGATGTTCCACACCATTTGATAGTTGGCCTTGTACCTTCTGGCCCCATCTCGGATTGAAAGACCGGGGTTGGCTTTAACGCACCTCAACACCTTGCTGTGTAGCTGACGATCCCTGGTTCCAGATTTTTCGTAGGTCCGCTGATTCCTTTCTACACTCAGGGTTTCCTTGTAGGTTTGGAGCACTCGACAAACTGTTGTTTTTGGCATCTTCAGCACTTTAGCCAGGTTGGAACCGGTGTTTCTGCACAATATTTTTTCATCTTTCGAATTCCATTTGACGTTATTTCTGAACGCGATCGACTACTTTGATAAAACTTGCACCAGTTTTTCTCTATAGAAGTGTAAACAAACCACTGTCAAAGATTTTCGATTCCCAACAATAGCGGCGCGTGAGGGGCGTTCTAATAAACGTTTAGTCAGTCTTTATTAGATAAACAACCAAGGGACTCTATTTGGTGAATTTCGATATAAAGTTTTGTATACAAACAAATCATTTATCTTCGGACTATCCCAGAACGAGTTGTAACCCGTTGGTAACAATGTCCACTAGAGGATGCTTGCCGGTAGTAACACTTCAAACATTAATCGATTTTAAAGCATAAACACGCAAGGTTTCTTTTCTTTCTTCGCATTTCAAGCTTAATTCTTATCGCATTTTAGCTTATTAGTGTTCTAAATGCACAGTTATTATTTGAGAGCTTTCGATACCTGTACCATTTTTGCATTAGTATAATTGTGTGACAAGTACAATCATAATCTATTGCCCAGGGAAGTCGAACAATTTTCCAACCCGAAAAATTCCTAGACCGGACCGCGAATCGAACCCAGCCACCTCCAGCATGGTCTTGCTTTGTAGCTACGTCTTTACCGACTGAG